GAGTCTTGATTGACATGCATCATTTGCATAAGTGTTTTAAGGGTACGATATGGAATACACCGCCAGAGAAGGCCCCCTAGTGTAAAAGCTTTGGGGATTAGTCCTTGGGGATAGCTCAGTTTGGAAGTCCCAGTCTCGCCCATTGTGTGCATGGGATGTATCTTGCGCGGCTTAGCTATCCCGACGAGACTCTGGTAGTATATCCTTCTAGTGAGAGTGCGCAGAGGGTGTGACCCGGCATGTACTCCTAGACTACTCTTCGTGTATTGCTAGCGGCAATATGCCATGTGATGTTTTACTGGCGCCACATGCATGATAACATGTAGTCCGTGTCCACACACGTGCATTTTCAATGTTATATAATTAATTGATATTTTTATGTCTTGGATGAGTGAGATGTAATATTGTTATTAATAAATCTATGTTATATCTGTCTTGTTTGTGTTTGGCTATTCGGTGTGTATTTCTACACTGTGAGCTAGAGTGAGATGTTTCTCACTCCCTTTTCTTTTTGTTGTTCTCCTTTGACTGTTGTACAGGTGATTATCAGCATGAGGCAGGAAATGTAGGTGATGAAGCTTAGGCTTCAGAGTTTGGCTTTGCTCTGATAGGACATGTGACATCGGGGCGTAGACAGGATTAAATTAGAATGTGCAGTTATTAAATTATTTTTGGAGACTTTACTTTTATTTTATTTTTTTAAAATTTTGCTGATTTTGTTAAGTTATGCATGTGGTACTCTCTATCTGAACACGTTGGTTTTTTTTTTTTAATTATAAAATGTTTTATTATTCAAATTTTATTATTATGTGTTATGATATGTGGGGTAGAGGGTGTCACAATCTGGGCAAAGTTAGGAGAAACTACTCTCTGGAATAATCGATTATTCCAACAATAATCGATTATTCATATCAGATTGTGTTTTCAAAGGGTTTTTAGTAATACAAATAATCGATTATATGTATAAATAATCGATTATCTGGGCGACTTTTGATATTTCTGAAGTATTTGAACGGTTATATACGAACAAAACCCTTAAAACCTCCCATAACCCTTAAAACCTCTCCCACTCAGAACGTGCTAGGGCATTCACTTTCTCACATTCTCTCAAACCCTTAAACCCTAACCCTCTCAACTCTCTCATTCTCTTCTTCTTCACCAAGACCCACTCATGGCTTCTTCATCCAAGAGACCCAAGAAGCTTGAAGTGAGGGGGAGCAAACGCCCTCTACCCCCAGGGCAACTGATTTCAAAATGGTTCCCAGATGAGAAGACCCAAGAATACTATTTCGAGTGGTATGCGGGGCGGAGAATCATTCCTCCTAAGACCCTTAAGCTGGAGTGGTTCAAGAATGAAGGTTTCAGTTTCCCAACCCTGCTGGAGCACCAAGAACTGGGGAAGTTTTTGGAAATGGAGGAACCTTATAACCCTGAGTTGATTAAGTTATTTCTCTATTTTGCCACAAGCAACGAAGGCATTATGCAATCTGTGGTAAAAGGGAAAATGATTAAGCTGGACGAGCCAACATTGAAGGTGGCTGCGGGATTGAGCGGCACGGGACGTGAAAAACCCCAACCCTTCAATTTCGGTGATTTTGAGGAACTGACGACCTTCCGGGACTGTTAGAGAAATCCAGTGAATACCAACTATGACAAATTTCTGGTGGGAGGTATGAAAAAGAATTCCCGTTTAATTTCTTTCATTATTGCCCGGATGTTGAAACCTCGTTTGCATAACCATGCCCAAATGTCAAGAGATGACATTTTACTTATGCATGTGATTAAAAAGAAAATCAAGATTTATTGGGTATCAGTCGTTAATGATTGTATGTGGAAAGCAAGATGGAAGAAAGATGGACCGATTCTGTATGCTTTGTTGCTGTCAAAATTTTTTGAGAACGCAGGGGTGGACTTAACAGGGGAAAGGAAAATTGTTCTCCATGCTTCGAATAAGATTGAAAAATCTTCCTTGCATCACATGGGGATGCTTAAACAGGAAGATAAATGGGTGTTTAAAGGAGATGTACCACCAACTCCTGAGCCTGCGACAGATGAAGACGGTGTTCCGTCACATGATGAGGATCAGCCACCGCAGGTGGAAGCTGAACCTGGCAGGGAGCCAGAAGCGGAGCCGAAACCATTTTTGCCTTTTGAGAAAATCATGATAAATAAACTTGATGCGGTGATGGAAATGTCTCGAAGACATGAGTCTTTATTTTCTGGTATTCTTGATAGATTTGATGATCTTGATCATGAGGTGAAGCTACTCAAGACTCACCTAGGCATACCTGAAGATGAAGAATGATTTCTGCTTTGGTGTGTTGATTAGTTTTAATTAGGACCTTTAAATTTTGTTTTTGAACTAGCATTTCAATTTGGTTGTAATAGTTTAATTTTGGAACAATTTACTTGCTTTAATCTGGTGAACAATTAAATTTCTGATGAAATTTGAGGTTTATTTTGCTGATATACTGATTTGAGTTGTGTACCAAATTCTGATTTGGTTGGTTGGTGCATTGATGCTCTGGTTTTGAGCATGTTTATTGATGTTCTGTTTTTAAACTTTGATATTTTGATGTTTTTAGTGAGCCAATTTTATATCTTGTGTGTTTTTTTTAATGACCAAGTCATGGTTGATTGCTGATTATAATGCTCTGTTTTGAGCATGAATGATTGTTGATGTTTTTGGATTTAAAAATTCTGAATTGTGGTTTGTAACTTGTCATCAATTCATGTTGCTGATCTAATAATTTTGACTTGGATATCAAAGTTCACAAAGTTTGAATCTAATACCTATGATGTGTTATATTTTTTTTGGTATGATTCTGAGCACTTAAGGAGTATGCATATGGCTTATATTGTATGAAACATAGCTTGGTTTGTTTTTGATAATGACAAAGGGGGAGAAAGGTTGTGTGTATATGGTTGTTGTTTTGCAGGTATTGTTGCTGTTTTGCAGGTATTGTGATGGTTGTTGTTTTGCAGGTATTGTTATTGTTTTGCAGGTATTGTGCTTGTGTGTGTATGGTTTTGCAGGTGATATAAGTAAAAACAAAAAACAATGGGTAAAGCCTAGCTTGGTGTGTCATGATTTGTCATCATCAAAAAGGGGGAGATTGTTGAGATTGTTGAAGTCTGAGCTTGATGAGAACATCTCTGATGCTTGAAGAGTTTTGATGATAACAAATGTGTGTCAAGGACAACAACAACTAAGAAGACAAAAAACAAAGCCAAAGAAAGTGTTATGTGCTATGTAATAAGAATTAATGTATAAATTGTTTTAATTGCGTTTATTTGTTGTGTGTGTTGTGTGCATAAGCCAAATCTATATCTAAACTAATTAGAGTGTATGATGATGAGTTAAAGGGACTAAAAAGTTATTTTGAGACTTAAAATGAAGTTTTGAAAACGAACTCAAAATAATCGATTATTCCAGCAACAGGCAAAATGGGATGCCTTGCTGCAATAATCGATTATTTTTTAAATAATCGATTACCCCAGAAGTGACTCTCTAGAATAATCGATTATCCAGCAAAAAAATCGATTAAGTTGTTCTTGGTTGGTTTCCAGAAAACCTGAAGAACAAAATAATCGATTATTCTTTAAAACAATCGATTATCTAGTTCTGAAACTTTTATAAATAGTTTGAACATTTTGAAACTTTAGAACAGAGTTAGAACTGAGAATCAAATTTAGAAAAGCGTTTTTGAGGAGTCTTTGTGACAATCTTGGAGAGTTTTCTTTGTGAATCCAAGAAGAAAAATGTTTGTGAAAAACTTTGAGAAAGGATCATCATCATCATCACATTCTTGAAAGGGGAAGATTAAGATTTGCTTCTGAATTCCAGGTGAATTCGTTCCTTAATTCTTTGTGAATACTTGTAAAATCTTGAGAAAGGTTTCTCAAGTGGTAAGGATTCTTGTAGTGGGTTTCTACAAGGGGTGCTTTCTTGGGGTCAAGAAAGTGGTTATCTTGAGTGTTGAAGTATATGCATGTGTGGTATGCTTGTAAACCTTCTTCATTAAGATAGTGGAACAAATCTTGATCAGGTTCTGATTGAGGACTGAGAGTAGGTCACATGTGGAGTGGCTGAACCAGGATAAAAGACTTGTGCAATCTTTCTTATCCTTATCTTTTACTTTGAGTAATATCTTGATTGTACATTAAAGAAGATGATTCTTGATTAGCATGTGTGCATGAATATTGTTGGTTTGAACTGAATTAAAGCACTATATTTGAACCTCATTATTTTGTAATCAAGAAAGCATATAATATTCATTCTTCTATAACAAGTCTTTAAAGAAACTTCTTTGAAAATTTAGTCTTAGAAAATTTTAAGTGAAATAAAGATCCTAAATACTCTAAAATTTTTAAAGTGTCATAGAATCCAATTCACCCCCCCTCTTGGATTGTGCCATTCTTTTCTAACACTTTGCCTCCATGAGTAACCTTAGAGAAGGAATTTCAACTTCAACGAGTAGTACTGCCTCCATTCCTTACACCAAGGAGAAAGGTGTGGCATCGATTGACATTCGAATAGATTTTCTATATCCATGCAAGGCAAAGTGATGGAGGCCCATGGGCTAAGGACCCAACTACTAGGAATCGCGGAGGAGTTAGCATTCAAGTTTATAGAGTATTCCTTATGAAGGCTCCATCACAAAGGGTATCATCTCGTGCCAATCTTTGTATGTGATGACCATTTTCTGGACAATATTTTTAATGTTTTTATTGGCAACTTTGACCGCCCCATTCATCTTTGGTCTATAAGGGGAGGAGTTATGATGCTGAATTTTGAAGGAACTGCAAAATTTGGTCATCATTTTGTTGTTGAGGTTGGACCCATTATCCGTTATGATTTTGTCATGTATTTCGTATCGGCATATTATGTTCTTTCCAAACGAAATTGACTACCACTTTACGGGTTACATGTGCATAGGAGGTGGCTTCGACCCATTTGGTAAGTAGTCTATAACTACGAGAATGAATCTGTGTCCATTTTAGGCCTTGGGTTCAATGGGTCCAATAACATCCATGCCCCACATTGAGAAAAACCAGGGTGGAGCCATTACATTGAGCTCACTCGGTGGGACTTGAACGTTATCGGCATATATCTGGCATCTGTGACATTTTCTGGCATACAAGATACAATCCTTCTCCTTGGTTGACCAAAAATATCCTGCCCTCATAATCTTTCTAGCCATGACTTGACCTATCACATGGGTGTCAAAAGTTCCCTCGTGGATTTCCTTCATTAGGGATTGGGATTCATATTGACCTACGCACCTCAACAAGACCGAGTCAAAGCTTGTATAGGATGCCTTCATGTAGTGTGAATCCGACGACCCTTCGTCTGATTGTCTTTTTATCATTGTCAGATGCCCTAACCAGATATTTACCCTCTTTGATATATTGTTGGATGTCAAAATACCAAGGGTGGCCATCATCCTTTTCTTTAAGCGTACAACAATGAGCTTGTGTCTCATGTCGTCTGATCCTGATGACCGACATTTCATATCCATATTTTATGGCAAACATGGAGGATAATATGGCTAGGGCGTCTGCTAACTGGTTTCTTTCTCTCGGGGTATGCTCGAAGTTGACGGATTCAAACTAGGATATCAAGTCTTGTATATATGGTTGGTAGGGGATTAATTTGTGGTCCCTCATTTCCCATTTGTCCCTTAACTGATGTATCACCAAAGCTGAATTGTCGTAGACTTCTAGTTTGGTGATGCTGTTGTCAAGGGCAGCTTGTAAGCCTAGTGTGCAAGCTTCATATTCAGCTATGTTGTTAGTGCATTCGAAGTCCAATCTTGTCGTCACAAGGATATGTTTTCCTTGGGATGACATCACTATGGCACCTATTCCATGTCCCATTAGATTCGAGGCTCCATCGAAGAACATAAACCAGGATTCCTTTTGACTTTATTTACCTGTATCGCTTTCAAAGGCCAAAATTTCCTTGTCAAGGAAATCATTGTTCATCGCGTGCTCTTCCTTGGTTGGTCCGCTCGCTAGGTAGTCGGCTAGGACACTGCCTTTGATTGCCTTTTGTGAGACATAGACGATGTCGTACTCTGATATCAATACTTTCCACTTGGCGACCCTCCTGACGAGTATAGACTTCTCAAGTAGATACTTAATAGGGTTCATTTTGGATATCAACTAGGTGGTATGCCTTAACATGTACTGTCTTAGTCGTTGGGCGGTCCATACCAAAGCACAACATGTCTTTTCCAAAGGCGAATATCGAGCCTCGTAATTGGTAAACTTGTTGCTCAAGTAATAGATAGCTCTTTCTTGGCGGCTAGTTTCTCATCGTTGACCCATCATACACCTCATGAAGTTCTCCAAGACCGTGAGATATAGAATGAGAGGTTTCCCTTCGATAGGAGGCATCAATATTGGTGGATTTCTGAGACATTATTTGATCCTATCAAAGGTGATTTGGCATTCCTCATTCCATTTCATTGGTTGACTGTTTCAGAGTAGCTTGTAGATAGGGGTGTATGTATCGATCAATTGAGATATGAAACAGGCTATGTAATTCACCCTTCCAAGAAATCTTCTGACCTCCTTTTCTGTCTTTGGGGTGACATCTCTATGATGGCTCTAGATTTATCTGGATCCACCACTATTCCCTTTTCACTGATAATGAATCCAAGGAGCTTTCCTGATCAGACTTCGAAGGTACATTTAGTAGGGTTTATCTTCAGTTTGTACTTGCGGAGTCGATTAAATAATTTCCTTAGGTGAACAAGAGGATCATTTTGGCTTTTTAACTTAGCAAACATGTCATCTACATACACTTCCACTTCCTTATGAATCATGTCGTGGAATAGAGTTACCATTACCCTTTGATAAGTTGCTTCGGCGTTTCTCAAATTGAATGACATCACTTGATAATAGAAGGTGCCCTAAGGAGTGATGAAAGAGGTCTTCTCACGATCCTCAATTTGTCATTTTGATCTGGTTATATCCCGAATACCCGTCCATGAATGAGAAAATAACGTTCGTAGATGTATTATCCATGAGTACATCGATGTGTGGCAATGCAAAATCATCTTTAGGACTGACTTGATTTAGATCTCGATAGTCCACATAGACTCACACCTTCCCATTTTTCTTCAACACGGGCACTATGTTCTCAAGCCATTCAGGATACCATATCAGATTATGTTTTCAAAGGGATTTTGCTGATGCAAATAATCGATTATTTGCATAAATAATCGATTATCTGGGCGACGTTTAAAATTTCTGAAGCATTTGAACGGTTAAATACACGCCAAACCCTTAAAACCTCCTATAACTCTCCCACTCAGAAGTTGTTAGGGTAAAACTTCTCAAAACCTCTCCTTCTCTCATTTTCTCATTTTCTCTCAAACCCACAAGCCCTAACTCTCTCAACTCTCTCATTTTCTTCTTCTTCTTCAATACCCACTCATGGAATCTTCATCAAAGAGACCTAAAAAGCTTGAAGTGAGGGGGAGCAAACGCCCTCTACCCTCTGGGCAATTGATTTTAAAGTGGGTCCCGGATGAGAAGACTCAAGAATACTACTTTGAGTGGTACGCTGGGCGTAGAATCATTCCTCCGAAGACTCTTAAGCTTGAGTGGTTTAAGAATGAAGGTTTCAGTTTCCCAACCCTTCTAGAGCACCAAGAACTGGGAAAGTTTTTGGAAATGGAGGGTCCCTATTACCCTGAATTGATTAGGTTATTCCTCTGTTTTGCCACAAGCAATGAAGGTATCGTGCAATCGGTGGTGAAAGGAAAAATGATTAAGTTGGACGGGACAACATTGAAGGCTGCTGCGGGGCTAAGTGGCTCGGGACGAGAGAAACCCCAACCCTTTAATTTTGGGGATTTTGAAGAATTGACTACCTTCCGGGACTGCCAAAGGAACCCGGTGAATACCAACTATGAAAAGTTTCTGGTGGGAGGTGTGAAAAAGAATTCCCGCTTAATTTCTTTTATCATTGCTTGGATGTTGAAACCTCGTTTACATAATCATGCCCAAATGTCAAGAGATGACATTTTACTTATGCATGTGATTAAAAATAAAATCAAGATTGATTGGGTGTCAGTCGTTAATGATTGTTGTAGACCCCTAAAATTGTCCGGGTCGGAAATA